TTCACGGGGATAAAGCTGAGGCTCAGGGAGGGAAGCCCGAGGCCGACCTGCGGCGGAAGGCGCCAGGGACCAAGTCCAGGCCCCGGTCACCTGACGCCGCAGACCCCAGGGGCTCTCCGTCTTTGGTGGCCTGTRGGGGCGGGGCCTGACTCAGACCTTGTCCTTGGGTCAGCAGCGTTTCCGGCCAGGACTAGGCCGAGCCAGGTCCCATGACGTCACAGGTGGGGCGGGGCCACTGCCAGGGGCGGGGCCACGTGCCAGGGGTGGGGCCTCGTGCCAGGGGCGGGGCCACGTGCTAGGGGCGGGGCCTCGGCACCTCACGGCAGGGGCATTGGAGAAGCGTCCCCAACGGTGGCCGCCAGATGGGACGGCAGGAGTCCGGCAGAGGGGAGGAAGGAGGTCATGCCAAGCCTGTGGCTTCACCCTGAGGGCAGTGGGGAGCCATGGAAGGTTCTAGCCTAAGAGAGGACTCTGGTTGGCTTCCGGAGGCCCGCCCGGTTCACACAGGAGGATGGGGGCAGCGAGGGATCACGGAGGCCTGGGGGCTGGGGACAGGCGTGTGTGCCGCGGCCTTGGGGAGGCCCAGAGAGGAGCTGGCCCAGCCCCGTGGCCGCCATCCTGGGGCCTTACTTCCAGTCCCAGCAGCCAGCCGCTAACCGAGTGACACCTGTCACAGAAGTCCCCTCCCAGGTCCAAGTAAAGGGGAAACCAAACTCATCTGGAGGAGACCAGGTGCCCGGCCCCGCTGCTGCTGCAGAGTCTCAGTAACAATCCCGGGGACTTAGCCTGGCCTCAGTCCCCGCCAGCACAGAAAGTGCCCCAAGCGGCAGGGACAGCCCTGGCCATCTCCAGAGCCGGGCTGCTGAGGGCTGGGACTCGGGGCCCTGACCTTTGCGTGGGACCTGGCCTCTATTCTCTCATTTAGTTCTCCCCACAGCGGCCAGGGGGACCCCGATGGCCCCGGCTCACAGCTGGCCCAAGGCACTGGCCACTCTGTCCCCCTCCTCCACACCCTTGGCCATCCCCCTGGTGGGCACAGGGACAGAAGGTGGCTGGGCCAGAAATTCCCTGCCCAAGTTTCCCAGGGTGGCAGGGTGGCTGTCCCCGGCCCCAGCTCCCGAGTCTCACCCAAACCGAGGCGGCTCTGCGGTGGACTTTCAGAGAGGGAAACCTGGGATCCCACCGTGGGGGCCTGAAGAAGGGAGGGGACAGCCTAGTGTCCCCAGGTGGTGRCAGGTGCCCTCCCCTGCCCTCGGCCACCCTGGCCGGCAGCTTGCGGCACTTCACCTGGACCCGGCGCTTTCATCCCTCGGAGTGGCCTGTTACCTCCCCCCAAGCCAGGCCYTGGAGCTGTGGTGACAGGCACACAGGCCTCTGCTGCACACACAGTGGCCCCTGTCACTTTTGAACCCCATGGGAGAAAAGGGGCCACGATTATTCCACAGATACCTCTGGCACCTGCTGCCCGTTCTCTCCTCCCCTTGGTGAAGGTGACCGTCCCCACTGGGGGTCAAGATGTGCCCAAGATGACATCTGACCTGGGGCTCATRGCCGGAGGGACAGTAAGGGCAGCCCACCTCCAGGCCTCTACCATGGGCACGGGACACAGGCGGCCTGTCCTGGCTGATACAGGTCCCGACAGCTGTTCTTGCTCGGCAGCCTGGCCCATCTGTCCCSGCCCGCCAGAGGCCCCTCGGGCCACGCTGCCCCAGGGGGGAGGCCCCAGGGGTCCCTGCCTCTGGGACCGACCCACTCCGTCAGTGCCAGCTCTTTCTTTTATATTGACCCCAAGCTGTCCTGAGCTGGGCCCAGACTTGCCACCGCCAAGTGACAGATGAGCAAACCGGGGTCTGTGGACAGGAGCCGCTGGCCTGGGCGCCTCGGGCCTCGAAGGGGGGGCATCCACCTGTAYCCGGCGCCTCAGTCTTCCAGTCTGTCAAGTGGGGACGAGGGCCACCCACGTCACTGCAGGGCTCTGGGCACTGCCCTGCCTCCCCTCTGCAGCTGCAGTTGGCAGTGACCAAGTGGGACAYGTGACAATACCCGCTGGGTGCCCTGGTGTCTGCCAGCACTGGTACCACAGCCTGGGGCCATCCGCAGCCCCAGGGACTCTGCAGGGACGGTTCTGTCTCTGGTGCTGGTGTGGGGGAGGGACAGCTGCCTGTCGTCCTGAGGCTTGGGGACCCGGGGCCTCTCCCCTACTGGGGCAGGCTGTGACTTGAGGGTCTTCTTTGGGACTGATTTATCTGCCTCCCCGGGGGCCACCGTCCTAGGGCGTGTTGGGTCCCTGCTGGAGCGAGTCCCCGGAGGATGGGTTTGGTCTTGCTGGGGTGTCCGGATATCACCGACGGCCACGCGCTCCCTTAAGGACACCTGTGGACACCAGGCTGCCGTGGTGCTCCCTCCTCCTGGGCCCAGGCTGGGGGCGTCCCAGGTCCATGCTCTGTGGCATGTGTTTCACCCTCTCTGGGCCCCAGCRCCGGGTCAACCAGGGCCACAAGAGTCTCTGGACTCCTCCTTCCCGATGCTGCTGGGGAAATTCCACCCAGGGAGGCGGGTGGGGACCCAYTGGGGTCTTGTCACTGCCTCAGTTTCCTGTCTATAAAGTGGATGTGAACGTGGAGGGTCCCCAAGGCGCTCGGCCGCCCCCAGCAGATCTTGCAGCTAGGAAATCCCACCAGGCCTCTTTCCCAGGAAGCGGGGTGCTGCAAAGACCCCTGGCCTCGTGGGCCTCCCAGACCCCAGTGACAGTTCCAGCGGCCCTACCTGGGGACYGCGATGTCTGCCAGACTGTTACAAGGCCCCAAGGGGGATGAGGTCATCGCCACTTGAGAGCGAGACAGCTGAGGACCAGAGAGGGACAGTGGTGGAGCCCTGACACACAGCAGTGCCACTGTGACTTCAGTGTGACCGTCTGGCACTGCCCCTGGGTCATCAGCTCCAGGGGGAGGGCGAAGCCTGTGTCTGTCCTGTCTCTGCCTCGATCCACAGGGCGGGCGTGCTGCCTGGCACATAGTAGTTCCTCAGTAAGGGCTCATCCATGGTGCGAGGGAGGGAAGGACCCTTTCTCCCCAGGCCTGGCCCCCCTCAGCTCACAGGTCCCAAAGCCTCCGGGGAGGGGCCCCAACCCAGTTAGTGAGTCACACCTGGCCTGGCGTGGGTCTGTCTCTCTGTGGGTCCTCCCTGTAGGCTGAGGCCTCCTGCCTAATCCCAGAGGGCAGGCTGGGCGGCAGCGACTCCTTCCAGGCCCAGGCCCTGGGTCGGCCTGCGGCGTGGAGGGTGCGTGGGCCGTGGCCTTCAGTGTCTGGGTGTCCCCTGCAGCCATCCTCCATCCCAGCCTTCTCCAYGTTTCCCGAGGCAGACGGTCACCGTTAGTCTGTGATCAGATGAAACTTCCTGTCCCTTCCTGGCTGCGTGACCTTGGGCAGGCCAGGTGCCCTCTGAAAAAGGAGAATAATCCGACGCTGGTCACTGGTCACTGGACAACAGTAAATTCAAGGTCCCCCCGACTCTGCTCCWTTCTCTCTCCACCTCACCCTCAGAACTCGCAGGTCTGTGTGCTCCTGGTCTGCTTCACACTAAGGTGTGAATGGCCTCCAGATTCTGCCTCCAGCATGTCTAACAGATATCATGGCGACCTGTGGTCTGTAGGGGTCTGTGAGGAGAAGATGGWGGGGATTTTCAGGGTACACAGGATGCATGGTCTTCCTCCTCGTTGGTCTGTAAAGTTCCCTCACACAGCAGCTGGGGATGGGACTTCTCGATGCTGGTAGGGAGTCTAGCCTTGGTTTTTGCTGCCTTGAGGGCTTCAGAGTCTGCCTTTTTTGGGGGGTGGGGAAGGTACCGGGGACTGAACTCGGGGGCACTCGACCACGAAGCCCCATCCCCAGCCTTATTTTGTATTTTATTTAAAGACAGGGTCTCACGGAGTTGCTTAGGGCCTCACTGTTGTTGAGGCTGGCTTTGAACTCGAGATCCTCCTGCCTCAGCCTCCTGAGCCACTGGGATGACAGGCGGGTGCCACTGTGCCCGGCTTACAATCTGCCTTTCTGAGGAATGCCCTTCACTTTTCTGTGAACACCTAGTACACTCAAAGAGGTCTGTGCACTTGGTGGACATTTCCATTTTCAGAGGAGGGGACTAGCCTCGAGTCCCTTTGTGGGGCTAGTACCCAAGTCTCTCAGCCTTTGGGTTGGAGCTATGTGTCTCCAGGAAAGTGTCTGTGCCTTTCTGGGCTGCCCACTCCTGTTCTCCTAAACTGGAGTCAGAAGGCTAAACCCAAAAAAGGGAGGGATGAAAGATAGGCAGGTGTCCCAGGAGGCTCCCCCACCTGTCCCACCCTGTCTCCAAGCTGTGGGGTGGGGGCCCTGCCCAGCCAGGGGTTGGGGGACTCTGGGCCTCTGCCTGCCCCTGGCTGTACCCTTTGGGCACCCACAGGCCCCTCCCCATCCTGTCCACTGCCCTGGGGAGGTGCTGTGCATTTCCCCTGCGTGACCCGCGCAGGTCGGTCCTCTGTGTCTCAGTGTCTTCTCTATGAAGTCGAGGTGACCTCCTTAATTCCCAGGGTTGGCCTGCAGTTGGCCCTGGCTGAAGACGTTTCCAGCACCCATCAGGCCCTGGGCAAATGTCCGTCTGGAGGACCAGAGGACAGGCTGCTCTGGACTGGGACCAGCCCCGCCTCTGCCCACGGGCGGGGTCCAGCGAACTCCTACGCGTCCTTCACCGCCCCCACTTAGACGCCCCTCCTCCAGGAAGCCCGCCCGCCCCCCTGTGTCAGTGGCTCTTGGAGACTCCCAGGTTTATCTTGCTGGATTCCACTTCCCAGGGGGACACGGGGACCCAACGGCAGGGAGGAGCTGCGGCCTCCCAGCCACGACCTCTAGACCCCCAGACCATCTCTGCCCGGAGTCGAGGCCCAGGTGTGGCCTCTCTTCTCGACCTCCCTCCCCCAGAGCCGCGCCCACCACTCATCGGCCCTCTCCCTTCTTGTCCCTCCACAGCCCACGACGCCATCAGCAAGGCCTCGGCCCAGCCCGGCAGCCACCTGCAGTGCCTGTCCGTCCACTGCACAGACGACGTGGGGGACGCCAAGGCCCGCGCCTCCGTGCCCACCTGGCGGTCCCTGCACTCGGACATCTCCAACCGATTCGGGACATTCGTGGCCGCCCTCACTTGAGTCGCCGAGAGAGCCCCCTCCCCCCAGGCCCTCCCCTCCCCCCACCTGTCCCCACCCCGTTAGGAAAGGGCCACTATGGCTGAGCGACTGGGTGGTTTTTTGGGTCTAGGTTGGTACCCGCTTAGTGGCTTATGGACCCGAAAGGGTTGATTTAAAGGGGCGGGGGATTAAAAAAACCTCAAAAGTTTTCTTTTTTTTTTTCTTTTCTTTTTTTAAAGAAACTGCCACCTGTGTTACAGTGTGGACCCTGCCCAGTTAKCCCACTTCTGTTTCCACCTTGGTTTTTCCTGTAGAGAGCTCCCCGTTTCTCTGTAACCCTGGCCGACCCTTTTAGATGACCTCTTTTTTTTTCCTTTATTTTGTTCCTGAAGCTTCTGTGTCCAAGTATTGTTATTTCGTAATAAGACAAGAGTTGCTTTCATTTTTTTTAAATTCTCTTTTATTTTCCTCCCTCCCCCCATCTCCCCCCCCCCTTTTGCTTATTAAAATGGAAATCCTGGAGAAGAGTACTTTTGGAATATTGCCGGGTGAAGGATTGTCATCGCAATATTATCTATTGACACCCAACTGTCATCAGCCAGACAGGAGCCAAACAAGTCATACCCCTTAGGTATTCCGCCTGCAATTATGTTTTGTCTGTTCCCTAAGAAAATAGAGAGATTTTCCTTCCGACAAACACTTCTGGACCCCGGGCTCATCTTCAGTCTGGCTGTCCTGCTGGAAGCTGGCCCTCCCCGCCTGGATCTGAGGGTGCGCCCAGCTGCCCTGGGAAGGAGGCCCTGCAGTGAGGTTTTTCTCTCCTTTTCTGGGCCTCTGCCTTAGGCCTGGGCTAAGCGGCTTCTGGTCTTCCCCCGGGGATTCCAGGCCCAGGGACCTCAGGTGCCCACGGGGAAGCCTTTGTTCTTTCCTGGGGACCTAGGGGACTGGGTGTGTCCCCTTCTCTGCTCCTGTTCCCCCCAGCCAGTCCTGGGAAGATGGGGCCCTTGCTTGGAGTCCGGGTCCTTTCTCCAGGGGTCTGCCAGCTGCCAGCCTGATCCGGGCCTTTTGTTCTTTAGCCTTGGACTCCCTTCCTCCCTTTTGATTTGATTTCTAAAACTAGAGCCATGTCCCCGTGTCTCAGGAGGGAACTGCCTCTACTGGGGCAGACGCTGGCGGTCACTGGAGGCCCATGTTGGCAGGGACAGATGGACACCTTGGGGTGCTGCTGACCCTTGTGAAAAGCGTTTGGGACTCGGGGTGGGGGGCACACCGATTCCAGGGTGGGTCAGACGAGAAGCGAGGTGACATCGCTTCATTCAGATGGTGACGCTCACTTTTATTTCAGTTTTTCTTTGGCGAGTGGGTTTTCCAAATGCTCCCTCCCAGGCCCCTGCCGGTGGGGTCCCCAGGGTTTACAGATCCAGTGTCCTTTAACAAGTGGCCTGAGGCCGGGGCTCCCCGTACCACGCCCACATTGTTGATCTCAAAGAACTTTTCAGCCAAGGGACAGAAGAGCCCAGGAAACCCTCTGTGTCCCCTGTCCCTCCTCCTCGTTCCCTGGCTGGCCCTTGTGGCTGGGGTCTGGGCCCTCTGACCAAGGGCAGCCCTGGCCACAGGGGTGGACAGAAGCAGGTGGCGGGCGGAGGGAAGGCTTGTCCCCACCACGGGCTGCAGGACGAGCCAGGTGCTGGGCCACACCACCTCCGTGCCCCTGTTGGAGAGCTTGGGGTCGTGGTTCTAGACGGGAGCTGTTCTCCCTGATGGCTTGAGGCCGGAGTCTCCCGACCTGTGTCCTGGACTTGGCCCCACCGGCCGCCTGCACGTGGCCATCAGCCTGTGGTCCTTGCCATTCTAGAAACTTCGGAAGCTTCCAACGTCCTCGCTCCCCACGGGCCCCAGATCGGAGCAGCTTTTCGAACAGCCTTAAGCAAAAGGATGTCATTTCCTGTCCTTTGGTTTTCACTGGAAGAATCAAAGCAAATGACGAAAACACACGGGACTCCGCGCCTGCACCCGGCGCTCTGCGGGAAGGAGAGGGAGCTGTTCCTATTGCACATGTAAAATAAGGAGACTCGACTCTGCTGTGTGTTAGGCAATCCTGTCGTCTTTTTTGACTCTTAAAAAGAAAAATTCATTTCTGAGATGCTTGGTTGGAAGACTGACAATAGCTCATGAATTGAGTGTTATTTTTTTCTTAATGTAAAGTGCGGTCTTCCGTATTCATGCAGATTGTATATACCTGTATATGTTTTCCTGAGCAGCTAAATAACAATAAATATGACGTTAATGGTGAGTGTGGAGCCTTTGTGGGCGGGCTGTCTGTGGGCGGGGCTGCCTTTGTGGGAGGGGCTGTCTTTGTGGGCGGGGCTGCCTTTCTCCCCTCCCGCTTTCCGCTGGATTCTTCAAATTCCCCTGGTGTGTGTGTGTGTGTGTTGACGTTGCTGCACATTGGGTCACTTCAGGGTTGGTCCCCTTGGCCCCTGTTGACATTTGGAGCCTGATGATTCTTTTTCTTCTTCTTTTTTTTTGTTACCAGCAACTGAATCCAGGGTCACTTAACCTCTGAGCCCCATCCCCAGCCCTTTTTATTTTTTAATTTAGAAACAGGGTCTCGCTGAGGTGCTTAGGGCCTCACTTTTGCTGAGGCTGGCTCTGAACTCGAGATCCTYCTGCCTCAGCCTCCTGAGCCGCTGGGATGACCTGCGTGCCCCATGTGGCTGGTGATTTTTTTTCTTGGCTCCCGGGGTGAGCAGCATCCCTGGCCTCTGCCCACCAGATCTCAGCAGCACGCCCCTCCACTATTGGGACAACCTAAAATGTCCCCAGCTGTCACACAGACTCCCCTGGGGGTGGGATCACCTGGGTCTGGTATCTGACAGTGTGGGAGGGAGGGGGCCAGGGAAAGCCACTTGGTGGCTGTGCTGTACCGTGTGACAGTCCCACTTCTGGGTTCCAGCACTCAGCTGGGTGACCTCCTGCAGGTCATGTGGCTCTCGGGGCTCCTCCATGTCCCTGTCTGTGAAACAGGCCCAGCTCATGGGGTCGTCACGGGACACAGTGTGTGTGGACATTGGGGACAGGAGAGGCTCCAGAAGCCCAGGCTGTCCCCYTGGGAGCACCTCAGAGGGCTCAGGTGGCTTCTGGGGCTGGGCTGTCCTGCCCTGGACGCGGCCTCCCCTGCCAACAGCCAGGCTCCAGGACACATGGGACTGTGGTGTCCATGCTCTCATTTCTAAAGCGGAGCTCAGGCGGGCGGCAGCTCCRCGGGGGGCCCTGCCCAGCAGCTCAGGGCCCTGGTCCACCCCAGAGGTCCCCAGGCTGAGGCTCCCCAGGAGGCCCCCCAGGCCCTGCTGGAGCGGGACTCGCCCAGGCCCACCCTGCCACCCACCTGACCTTCAGCTTGGCGCCCTCTGTCCCAGGCTCAAGGCCATCACAGGACCTTCCCTGTCCTCCTGAACATTCCAGGTGTTTCTCAAAGTGTGTTCCAGGGGACCCCAGCCCCGGGCAGGACATTCATCAGCTGCCTGATTTGTGGCCTCTGAGTCACCTTGACCTCTGACCCCACATGACCCTCGCAGGCACTGCTCCCTCCTCCCCAGCCCGCAGCCATTGGAGGGCTCCTGTAGGGCCCTGATGCCAGTGTGAGGCAGGAACACGGGCAGAGGTGACAGTGGCACATTGAGGCCTGCACAGTGGCTGTCGGGGTGGGGGCTGGCAGCTCTCATTCCTCTGTGACGCTCTGCCCTGGGCCCCCCAGGGTCACTCGGTGCAGCAGCTGTCCCTGGGGTCCCCATACGGCTCCGAGCTGGTGGTTCGACTTGGGCCCTGGACTGTCCCCAGGGTCCCTGTGCTGACGGCCGGGCTGGGCTGTCCGGCTCCCGGGGGCTCCTGGGAGGTGACTGGGTGCAGGCTCTGGCCTCACAGGGGGCCACAGTGGAGTGGACCCTCAGGAGGTGGGAGCAGGTCCCTGCAGGGGTACTTCCTGTCCCCACCCCTTCTCTCTCTCTGCTTCCTGGCGGCCATGAGGGGACAGCTCTGCTCACTGGCCCTCCCACCGTGAGGTTCTGCCCTGGGACAGGCCCCTGCCACGTGCCCACGGAGCCCGCACCCCAACTGCGAGGCAGAGTCTCCTCCTTAGGGCGCTGTCCTCAGGTGTTCTGTCRCAGCCACGAGCGCGCTCGTTAGTTTAATTACAGCCAGGGGCGGTGGCCCACGCCTGCCATCCCAGCGGCTGGGGAGGCTGAGGCAGGAGGATGGCGAGTTCAGAGCCAGCCTCAGCCACAGCGAGGCTCTAAGCAGCTCAGTGAGACCCTGACTCTAAATAAAGTACAAAATAGGGCTGGGATGGGGCTCAGTGGGCGAGGGCTCCTGAGTTCAATCCCTGGTACCCCCTCAAAAAAAATAAAAATAAAAACACTGCAGGGAACGTGCCCAACACGGTACAGGACGCTGAGAGACTCACGTGAGAGGCCTGAGGAAGGCTTCCCCGGCAGATCACGTCCGTGTAAGGTTTTGGGGGATGAAGAGGAGCTTATTCTGTTCAACTGCCTGGAGGGGAGGGAGGCTTTGGGCATAGAGTTAGAGTCCATTAAATGTCCATCCCTGCACTGTCCCCTCTGTCACCACCAGCCCCCTGTAGCCCTGGAGTGCCTGAGATGCAGCTTCCCAAACTGCAACATGTTTGTAAGTATGAAGGCCACACTGGCTTTCTAAGATTCAGTACGAAGAAATAAGAGGATAAAGTATTCCACTAACTACAATTAAAATTCTGTATATTGAGTACATGTGGAAATAATGGCTTAGATACACCTTTAATATGTGAATACAAATAATTTTTAACCATATTTTCTTAATTTAAAAAAATTCAGGGYTGGGGTTGTGGCTCGCRGTAGAGCGCTYGCCTAGCCTGTGTGAGGCCCTGGGTTCAATCTTCAGCACCACATAAAAAGAAAAAAATAAAATAAAGTTACAAAAAAATTCAGTCTATTCGTTTTCTGTTGCTAYTGTCTCAGTTTTCTGTTGTGGTGGCAAAATGCCTGAAGGTGGAAACTTGATAAAGTAAAAAGGTTTATTTAGTTCACAGCTTTGGAGGCCACACATCCACCATCGGGCAGCCTCGTCCAGTCAGCCTCCGGTGGAGCTTCATGACTGGGTCACGGCATGGTGGATGGCATCCCACGGGAGGAAGGAAAGCCCACCAGAGGGGCCACACAGAGAGAGCAGGAAGCTGGACCCACGTTGTAGCCCTGATCTCGTGGTGACGGACCCAGGCTCTGCAGAACTAACCCTTGAGAGGACCGTGACCCTTGTGACCTTGACTCTTTCCAGGGCCAGCTACCTTTCTGCAGGGGCCCTGGAGAATCGAGCCTGTGGGTGAGTGTCAGAGGGGACAGAGCACAGTCCAGCTGCATTCCTGGGGGCGGCGTGGCCGAGGGCCCTGGCCTCCGGCTGGCTGGTGACCGGGGCTGCGGTCAGCTCTCCAAGGTCCCCCAAGTTCCTTCCCCGTGGCCCAGGGGCCCCACGGTGTGGCTTCCCTGAGGCCGCAGGGGCCTCTCAGCGCAGTCTACTGAGACAGGCTCTCGTGTGACATAAGGTGACCCCGGGAGTGACACCCCCTCCCCGTGGGACCGCCAGCATGACCCCGCCACAGGAGCCACGCCGTCTCCCTGGGTTAGAAGCAGTCAGCCTTTCCTCGCACACTTATAGGGGGCCACACCTAGCCATGACTCACGGGGCCACTTAGGGTCTCACACCCCCACCCGGGACCCCCCAGTCCTAACTCYGGTCCTACGCCTTCTCTTTCCATTACCCAGCGCCACACTAGCCATGTCTGAGTTGCGCCTGTGGGGCTCGTGGGCCGCTGATGGAGGAGGAAGGACAGCGTGGGGAATGCTGGGCTCCCTGGGGCAGATCACGGCACTTCTCTGAACTTCAGTTCCTACCGACCTCTTGAAAGAACTAAAGAGCTGGTGTTTGCAGAGGGCTTCTTAGGCGAGTGCCCACGCCTTCGCAGGAGCTCAGTGAAGGGTCGTGTTAGGAACAGGACACATTRTCTTTCCTCCCGGAGAGAGCAGGCCACTTCACTGACCTCACACTTGTCCCCACGACCTGCAGTTCATGAGCCCAAGGACCACACAGCTCAGGCCTCCGTCTCCTGGTTTGTGACATGAAGAATTCGGACCCTGTAGTTCYGTAAATCCCTGCCGTTGGCGGCCTTCAGAAGGAGAGGAGGGGGCTCAGAGGGGCTGGGGCCACCGACCATGAAAGAGGAAAGAAGGTCACCTAACAGGTGGCAGCCCCAATGTGCCCCAGTGCCTCATGGGGTGCCCCATCTGTCCCCAGAGAGGCAGGGGAGGTATACAGAAGATGCCCCAAACCTCTTTATTTTTAAAAAGATGAGACCTGTCATCCCAGTGACTTGGGAGGCTGAGGCAGGAGGCCAGCCTCAATAACTCAGCGAGGCCCTAAGCAGCTCAGGGAGACCCTGTCTCTAAATAAAACACAAGAGGGCTGGGGATGGGGCTCAGGGGTYGAGGGCCCCTGGTTCATTCCCTGGGACCCCCCCMAAAAAAAGATTAGACCAGGATCTCAAGGCCCGAGTGCAGCGGGGCTCTCCCTGCTGATGAGGGGCCGTGGGGGCTGACTTTCCCGAGCAGCTGTTTGCGCAGGAGGAGCATCCTGGGGGGCTGGTTTTCCTGCGTCCCCTGCTCCTGGGGCAGGAACCCTCCAGGTCTGGCCGGGTGGGTCGGGCTGGGGTCCGTGAGGGCTGCCCAGGGTAGGGCCAGCGTGCACTGTGGCTGTGGCCTTTGTCCCCCCATCGAGGGCCCCATGGAGACCCCACCCCCAGGAGCACATTCTTCTCAGCAGAGTCTGGAGCCCCCGCTGGGCACCCCAGCAGCCCCCTCCTCGCCTTTGTCCCAACCAGGGATCCTCAGAGCTTTGAGCCCCTCGAGGACAAAGGGCTCATTGAGGGGCCGGCCAGGCGGGGGAGGGGAGCTGCGGGAGTGAGGGACAGGAGCTGGCCAGGCCCTGCACACTCTGCCCGGCCCCGGGGCCCTGCCTCTGGGAGCCTCAGCCGGCCTCTCTGTGGACGGACGTGGCAGCAGGAC